AAGTGTAGGTAAGGTTAAAAAAGAATGAAAACAATCGCCTTAGATGTTCACATTCTCTGAGGTAGTGGTCAGTGACGGACACCGGACACCGCCTTGACCTCTACCTGAGTGAATGTGAACATCTAAGAGACATCGGAAATATTTGTAGCATAATAAACAACACATTGATTGAGTTAGGAAAGTACTATCTGTCAAACATAAATGCTGTTCTCAAAAGATTCTCCCTTTTTGCACCCCCAAGATAACGTAAGATTTTAAGGGTTGACAAATGTCAATCTTCTGGTTTGATAAGCTGTTCACTTAAGACAGTTAAGCAAGTCCCAGCTGTGTCTGGGTACAAGTGACAGGATGAACACCCCCAGCGGGTTTTCTTCGTATTGGAGAGTGTTGTACATGCTGCTATGGCGGTGTGTTCACTCACAGGATGAGTGGCGCCGCCCAATACTGTCACTATGGCGGTGTGACCACTCACAGGATGAGTGGCGCTGCCCAATAAACTCGCCCCTCGGGGCGAACATGTTATAGCCAGTTAGGGTTTAAAGGTCCACGTGGGGTCGAGCTACGTGAAAAAATAAATTTACATCTCGATATATTCTAGTGACACAGAGGTCTCATGAAGGGTCGCTCAACATATGGAAAAATATATTATACTGATTGCCACCCAACTTTTATATTTAAAGAAAGTAACAGGTGTAATCTTGAGTGTCAACAACTGTGAAGTCACACTAGTTCAGAGGCCCACCAGGGTGGGAATGAGTGGGCACACATTTCCCACTCGTGTATTTCCAATATTCAAAATACTAGTGTTCGGACAAAAAAAAATGGTACCATTCCCTGTCAGGATAACGAGTTAAAGGAAATAATAATGCAAAAAAGGGTCAGTTACGTATGCTAAGTAACACGTGAACAAAGTAAATGAAGCGAGCCAACACAAGGCGGCAACACCACAGTAACTGTTCTAAGATGAGCACCACCACCCACCACCCAAAGCTACCTAAACCTTCCTACCATTGCCTAAGTAATGAAGAAATATGATATATATTCTCTCTATCATGTTGGTGCTGAATGTAGATCATGAAAAACTTATTTTTACTATGACATAATAATATTTAATAACGAAATTGGGTTCATCTAATCACCCAAAGCCACAACATTTTCGCTTGGATCGTCGACTTCCTATGGCGTCAGCTGCCACCTAGTTTCGTCTAATTTCGTTAAAAAATTACATTATTTCAGAGTAAAATATATGTTTTTTCATGTTCTACATCCAACACCAACATTATAGTGAGCGACTATGTCACATTTCTTCATTACTTACGTTATGCTGGGTAGTTTTGGGTAATTAGACGGACCAGACACCCAGGTAGAAACACGACTTGTTAACATTAACAACGGCGACTACTGTCCTCCTCCCACTGACGCCCTGGCTCTCTTCTCCAGATGGGTTTATCAACAAGGGGAGAGAGGCTTTATATTGAATCTATTTTGGTACTGATAGTTAAGATGATTCAAGGGAAATGTTTTTATGATGTTTACGGTCCAGAGATTGTTGTATTAAGAATAATTCCCAACAGAATTAGCTGGTGAATTTATTAGCGACGTGGCAATAATATCCCCCGTTTTCTATTGACGAAAATTCCACTGCCGACTTCTATGAGTGAATTTATTAGTACTATACAGCAGCAATATTATCTGCCTATTGCACTGAATACTAGTAAATGGTGTCCGGTTTACCGACAAACGTGTATGAATACATTGTGGCTGCCTGTCCCCGGACACAATGAATTATTATTATTTATTAAAAGTAGGCAACATATAAATAGCACGGGAATCTGCATAATAAAGCAAGAAACAGCAGCAAATACAATATGACGTATTAATACACAAGAAAAGCCTTATTTCGTAAGCATAAAGATAATGCAAGTATCATTGGAATATCAATAAGAAAACAGGACAATAAGGCAAGAGTTGACGTACACGCATACAGTGTCTTGCATACCTTGAGGCCCGAGATAGTTGTGTGTATCTTCCCATAACGGCCCCGGGGGGAGTAGACGACACCTGGGTTATGTCAACACGGTCTCTCATTACCTATTGTACTCCACCACCACTATTACTGTCTCCCATCGTGTCAATCATGCTTGGTTGTTCTCTCACACACACACACACACACACACACACACACACACACACACACACACACACACACACACACACACACACAAATAGGGTTGATAGGGTGGAGGCTGACTCCATACACAATTTTAAATGTAGATATGACAGAGCCCAGTAGATTCAGGAATCTGTACACCAGTTGATTGACGGTTGAGAGGCAGGACCAAAGAGCCAAAACTCAAGCCCCCCCCCCCCCGCAAGGCCAAATAGATGAGTACATACATTCATTTTTGGACTGCAAATTTTGGGACTGCCAGAAAGCCTTTGACACAGTACCACACCAGAGACTAGTGCACAAGCTGGAGATGCAGGCGGGAGTGAAAGGGAAGGTACTCCATTGGATAAGGGAGTACCTAAGCAACAGAAGCCGGCGAATCACTGTGAGTGGCGAGGTCTCAGAGTGTCGAGGCGTCACGAGTGGATTCCCACAGGGTTCAGTTCTTGGACCTATCCTTTCCTGATATATGTAAATGATCTCCCAAACGGAACAGACTCGTTTCTCTCAATGTTTGCTGATGATGCGAAAATTATGTGGATTAAGACCAAGAGAGTAAGAGGTTAGAAGATGACCTAGACAAACAAGGAATGGTCCAACAAATGGCTCCTAAAGTTCAAAACAAATAAATGTAAGGTAATGAAACTAGGCGGAGCCAACAGGAGGCCAGACATAGGATACCGAATGGGAGACGAAGTCCTTCACAAAATGGACAGAATGATCTAGGAGTTGATATCATGTCGTCTCCTGAAATCCACATCAAAAGAATACCATCAGCGGCGTATGCAAGGCTGGCTAACATGAGAACTATCTTTAGAAATTTGTGTAAGGAATCATTCAGAACCTTGTATACTCCATATGTAAGACCAATCCTGGAGTATGCGGCCCCAGCATGGAGCCCGTACCTTGTCAAGCACAAGACGAAGCTGGAGAGAGTTCAGAGGTATGCTTGGAAGGCAGAAGAGCTCGGGGAGACATGATCACCACATGTAAAATTCTCAGGAGAATTGACAGGGTAGATAAAGCTGGATTATTTAACACGGGTGGTACCCAAACAAGGAGACACAGGTGGAACCTGAGTTCCAGAATGAGCCATAAAGACATTAGAAAGAACTTTTTCAGTGTCAGAGTACTTAATTTAAATTAATAAATGGAATACATTAGGAAGTGATGTGATGGAGGGTGACTTCATACACAGTTTCAAATGTAGATATGATAGAGGTCAATAAACTCAGAAACCTATACACCAGTAGATTGACAGTTGAGAAGCGAAACCAAGGAGCCAAAGCTCAACCCTACGAGCACAAATAGTTGAGTAGAAATATGTGAGTACACACCTATAATTTGAGAGAGAATGTCTGATTATATGTGTGTGTGTTCGAAATTGAAAGCTAGACGCTCGGGCCTAGCCTGACCATAATTGACAGACATAATGGCCTAGGGGTAAGGGGTGAACATAGGCTGGTCAGGGTCGCCACAATTCAAAAGCGAACAGCGTGCCAGGGCCACATTCACACCCCCACCATCATTTTGGCACTACCCGCCAGCTACACGGAGAAATATTTTCAAAACAAACTTTTTAAAACTATTTTTTTCCTTATAGTAATATGCACCATAATTCAATGATTTTGGGAGAATTAACATAAATTTCCTGTAGCCAATAACTGACCCATACTTACATAAAACAGACCCACACTAACGTCAGCCTCAGATATACCGACACAAGTCACCACATTCCTTAACGAAGAAGTTAGAAGTCATACTGAGGTGAGAACGAAGCCGTTAAAGAACAGAGGCAGTGCGGAGGATGGCTTCACCTGGGCTTCTTGCTTCAGGGAATATATAATACTCTACATATTCCCCTTCAGGGTGTAGTAATCTTCCTGCTACTGTTACAGTGAGGAGTTAACAGCTCGACTAGGGACAACGAAGACCTTTTAACTAAAGTGTATATAATCTTTGCAGGGCTTTACTGCTCGTAATTAGTGCATTTAACTTTAGCAATGTGACGCGCGGCCAACGTCGGAGTAGTTCACACGTACCAGTGTCTGCGGGCTGTATGTCTGCGGGTGTCCCCGGGCTGGGTGTCTGCGGGTGTCCCCGGGCTGTATGTCTGCGTCTGTCCCCGGGCTGGATGTCTGCGGGTGTCTCCGGGCTGTATGTCTGCGTCTGTCCCCGGGCTGTATGTCTGCGGGTGTCCCCGGGCTGTATGTCTGCGTCTGTCCCCGGGCTGTATGTCTGCGTCTGTCCCCGGGCTGGGTGTCTGCGGGTGTCCCCGGGCTGTATGTCTGCGTCTGTCCCCGGGCTGTATGTCTGCGGGTGTCCCCGGGCTGGGTGTCTGCGGGTGTCCCCGGGCTGTATGTCTGCGTCTGTCCCCGGGCTGGATGTCTGCGGGTGTCCCCGGGCTGTGTGTCTGCGGGTGTCCCCGGGCTGTATGTCTGCAGGTGTCCCCGGGCTGTATGTCTGCAGGTGTCCCCGGGCTGTATGTCTGCAGGTGTCCCCGGGCTGTATGTCTGCGTCTGTCCCCGGGCTGTATGTCTGCGTCTGTCCCCGGGCTGGGTGTCTGCGGGTGTCCCGGGCTGTATGTCTGCGGGTGTCCCCGGGCTGTATGTCTGCAGGTGTCCCCGGGCTGTATGTCTGCGGGTGTCCCCGGGCTGTATGTCTGCAGGTGTCCCCGGGCTGTATGTCTGCAGGTGTCCCCGGGCTGTATGTCTGCAGGTGTCCCCGGGCTGTATGTCTGCGGGTGTCGCCGGACTGGATGTCTGCGGGTGACACTGGGCTGGGTGTCTGCGTGTCTGCGGGCTGGTTTAAGAAGACCGTCCCCATAACAATGACGCCCAGTGAACCCATTCACAGTATCGGATCGCAAACTTTTTTAATACTTCCGGACTGGAATGCTTGCAGAAGTGGTTGGGCTCAGCTGTCAAGTGAAGTATCGTCTTAAACGAGTCCGCGACTAAGAATCAATAGTGAGGTAAATTACTGCCACAAGGACTTCAGCTCCTCAGCCCGTCACTATCCCTCAAAACCCTCAACGTATCTCCAGTCTTGTTTAGAGGTATTAGAGGAAACTCTAATATTATATTACTGTGTTATAGAGGGCAGCAGGTCATATTACTGTGTTATAGAGGGCAGCAGGCCATATTACTGTGTTATAGAGGGCAGCAGGCCATATTACTGTGTTATAGAGGGCAGCAGGCCATATTACTGTGTTATAGAGGGCAGCAGGCCATATTACTGTGTTATAGAGGGCAGCAGGCCATATTACTGTGTTATAGAGGGCAGCAGGCCATATTACTGTGTTATAGAGGGCAGCAGGCCATATTACTGTGTTATAGAGGGCAGCAGGCCATATTACTGTGTTATAGAGGGCAGCAGGTCATATTACTGTGTTATAGAGGGCAGCAGGCCATATTACTGTGTTATAGAGGGCAGCAGGCCATATTACTGTGTTATAGAGGGCAGCAGGCCATATTACTGTGTTATAGAGGGCAGCAGGCCATATTACTGTGTTATAGAGGGCAGCAGGCCATATTACTGTGTTATAGAGGGCAGCAGGTCATATTACTGTGTTATAGAGGGCAGCAGGCCATATTACTGTGTTATAGAGAGCAGCAGGCCATATTACTGTGTTATAGAGGGCAGCAGGCCATATTACTGTGATATAGAGGGCAGCAGGCCATATTACTGTGTTATAGAGGGCAGCAGGCCATATTACTGTGTTATAGAGGGCAGCAGGTCATATTACTGTGTTATAGAGGGCCGCAGATCATATTACTGTGTTATAGAGGGCAACAGACAACGGTACTGAGTGTTGTACCCAGTTTATTGTGTCAATTTAATTCGTAGTCTGTCATTGTACCGACAGTGGAAGCAGTTTACGGAGCGTGTGGAGTAGTTTATGAGTGTGGCAAATGGATTCGAGTCGGTGTGGGGGTTCACACCCTCCTGTACGTCGGATGTCCAAGTTTATAAGAGACTCACCGGTCCAGGTGGCTGCCGTCAGGTGGCGTGTGACGGGAAGTGACATTTTGGGACGGTCTTGGACAGGACAAGTGGGTGTGGAAGCGTATGACCGGAAGTAGCTTGAGGAAGTTGAGTAAATAGAGACGCCAGCAAGTGGCGGGTCTCAGTGCTGGACACGACATCATAAACAGAAGGCCAGGACCTATGGTGGACTCAGCCACCGTAGCTCAGATTTGATGCGACATGTCCAAGCTGGTTGATATAAAGACCTACACCCACACAGTGCTCGCAGATGTCCCTGACCGCAGATGTCCCTGGCCCCGTTGGGTAGCATGTGTGAGTATATATATATATATATATATATATATATATATATATATATATATATATATATATATATATATATATATATATATGTCGTACCTAGTAGCCAGAACGCACTTCTCGGCCTACTATGCAAGGCCCGATTTGCTTAATAAGCCAAGTTTTCATGAATTAATTGTTTTTCGACTACCTAACCTACCTAACCTAACCTAACTTTTTCGGCTACCTAACCTAACCTAACCTATAAAGATAGGTTAGGTAGGGTTGGTTAGGTTCGGTCATATATCTACGTTAATTTTAACTCCAATAAAAAAAAATTGACCTCATACATAATGAAATGGGTAGCTTTATCATTTCATAAAAAAAAAAATTAGAGAAAATAAATTAATTCAGGAAAACTTGGCTTATTAGGCAAATCGGGCCTTGCATAGTAGGCTGAGAAGTGCGTTCTGGCTACTAGGTACGACATATATATATATATATATATATATATATATATATATATATATATATATATATATATATATATATATATATTAGTATATTTTGGTAGCAGTCTTTCCTGTAGACATATATTATTAAATATGACCGAAAAAGTAAGATTAATAATTCTAACACGAATTTTCTCAATCTTTCGTACATTACGCTTCACTGTTGGAGGTAAATCAAAAATCAATTCTCCAAAATTCATTATATATATATATATATATATATATATATATATAATGTGTGTGTGTGTGTGTGTGTGTGTGTGTGTGTGTGTGTGTGTGTGTGTGTGTGTGTGAGTGACTCACATTGGCGGGTAATTTGACAGAGAGAGTTAAGGGTAAAGACTCTGGAGTCTTAAGAGAAAGGGTAATTAGGATTTACGATGTGACCTTCGGCGGGTGTTGTGGGCTTGTATATTCACGTCAAACATATTGTGCATATAGTTATATTGTCAATATAGTTGTGTTTACTTAGCGCTGTTTCTTTAGCTTCTCGCCTTGGTGTTCCTCCCAATTCTGTGGCTTCCTGGTAGAAGAACTCTGCCCAAACGAACGGACAGTTTCTTTCACCCTGATGCACCTGTTCACCTAGGTACTGAGTCAATAATGTAATACTGAGCATATTAGTTACGACACCGCGGTAGAGAAGGCAGCAGGCATTACGTTGAAACCCGTTCTCGCACTTTCTTAGAGTCAATATTGACTTATTAAATAAGTGCATATGTGATATACTAATTTATTGTGAATATTTTAGTTTACCTTGAAAAGCTTCATAGAAAACACCGACCTTACCTAACCTTCTTAGTATGTTAAGATAAGCATCTTATTGCTTCGTAATTACAATTATTACTTAACCTATTATAGGTATAGGTATAGGTTACCTATTATAATAATATAATAATAATATAATAATATAATACCTATTATAATAATAATTATAATAATAATATAATAGGTTACCTATGTACCTATTATAGGTATAGGTATAGGTTAAGTAATAATTGTAATTACGAAGCAATAAGATGCTTATCTTAACATACTAAGAAGGTTAGGTAACGTCGGTGTTTTCTATGAAGCTTTTCAAGGTAAACTAAAATATTCACAATAAATTAGTATATCACACATGCACTTATTTAATAAGTCAATATTGACTGTAAGAAAGTGCGAGAACGGGTTGTACTTCCAAGGTACAGGCATTAGGCATTACTCCAAGAAGGCAGCAGGCATTACTACCGGGGTAGAGAAGGCAGCAGGTCACACTAGCGAGGTGTAGAGGGCAGCAGGTCACACTAGCGAGGTGTAGAGGGCAGCAGGTCACACTAGCGAGGTGTAGAGGGGAAGGTCACACTAGCGAGGTGTAGAGGGCAGCAGGTCACACTAGCGAGGTGTAGAGGGCAGCAGGTCACACTAGCGAGGTGCAGAGGGCAGCAGGTCACACTAGCGAGGTGTAGAAGGCAGCAGCTGTTACTTCTAGGTGAATTAAATGCAAGAGTGGTCTGATAATGCAGAGTGTGTAATATTAAGGTAACGAGCATCCGCAGAGACATTCACTATACAAGAAAGTGAACGTAGGAACTTTCTGAGAAAGTAAACGTAAGACCTTTCTGAGAAAGTGAACGTAAGACCATTCTGAGAAAGTGAGCGTAAGACCATTCTGAGAGAGTGAACGTAGGACCTTTCTGAGAAAGTGAACGTAAGCCAATTCTGAGAAAGGTGAACGTAAGACCATTCTGAGAAAGTGAACGTAAGCCCATTCTGAGAAAGTGAACGTAAGATCATTCTGAAAAAGGTGAACGTAAGACCATTCTGAGAAAGTGAACGTAAGACCATTCTGAAAAAGGTGAACGTAAGACCTTTCTGAGAAAGAAAGTGAACGTAAGACCATTCTGAAAAAGAAGGTGAACGTAAGACCATTCTGAGAAAGAAGGTGAACGTAGGACCATTCTGAGAAAGAAGGTGAACGTAGGACCATTCTGAGAAAGAAGGTGAACGTAGGACCATTCTGAGAAAGAAGGTGAACGTAGGACCATTCTGAGAAAGAAGGTGAACGTAGGACCATTCTGAGAAAGAAGGTGAACGTAGGACCATTCTGAGAAAGAAGGTGAACGTAAGCAGACTTGCACAAGTGTTTGTTTACATACACAGACTTGCCAAAATGTTAGTGTACACACACACAACGTACACGTGTACACAATTTAAGAAATGAACATTTTCGTAAATTTCTTCGACAATTTTGTGATGTTGACTATCTTATGACTCCCTATGTGTATCTCCCTCCCCCCCTTCTCTCCCTCTCCATCCCCTCCATCTCTCTCTCTCCCCCCTTCTCTTTCTCCCCATTAACTAAATATTCCACCCCAGACAAAGATTGATGACTTTCATTAACCAGTCAGAATTTAAAGAGAAAATAAATTAAATAGCTTTAGGTACCACACTTTAATACTGAGTGAATTTCTGGACGGATGACTCCATAAACATCTAATGCACCGTCACTCTGCCCTCTTTTGCTTCAGTTGCTGCAACACTTTCCCAAGATAATTTTATATATTTTATATACATACATACATATATATATATATATATATATATATATATATATATATATATATATATATATATATATATATATATATATATAAATACTCACTTAGTTGTGCTTGCGGGGGTTGAGCTTTGGCTCTTTGGTCCCACCACATCACTGCCTAATGCATTCCATTTATTAACTACTCTAATACTGAAAAAAACATTTCTAATGTCTCTGTGGCTCATTAGAGTACTAGGTTTCCACCTGTGTTCCTTTGTTCGTGTTCAACCCGTGTTAAATAGTATGGCTTTGTCAATCCTGTCAATTCCCCTGAGAATTTTGTAGCCTCAGTTCTGGGACTAGTCTGGTGGCATACCACTGACTCGTCTCTATCTTTGTCTTGTTTTTATTTAACTAGGTATGGACTCCAGGCTGGAGCTGCATATTTCATGATTGGTCTGACATAAGTGGTATACAAGGTCATGAACGATTCCTTCCACAAGTTTGTAAAGGCAGTTCTTATGTTGGCCAGTATAGCATATGCTGCTGATGATATCCTTTTGATGTGGGCCTCTGGGGACAGGTTCGGTGTGATATCGACCCCCAGATCTTTCTCTCTATTTGACTCTTGCAGGATTTCACCTCCCAGATGATACCTTGTGTTCAGCCTTCTGCTCCCTTCGCCTAATTTCATTAATTTACACTTTCCCGAGTTAAATTTTAGTAGCCATTTTCTAGACCATTCCTCCAGTTTGTCCAGGTCGTTCTGTAGTCTCTGTTTATCTTCATCTGCTTTGATTCTTCTCCAAATTTTTGCATCATCGGCAAACATTGAGAGGAATAAGTCTTTACACTCTGGAAAATCGTTTACATATATCAGAAACAGGATGTGTCCAAGTACAGAGCCCTGTGGGACTCCGCTGGTGACATCTCGCCACTATAATGTCTCCCCCCTCACAGTTACTCGCTGTTTCCTGTTGCTTAGTTACTCCAAACTGAAGTATATCCACAGGAGCACCTTACCTCTTACTCCTGCCTGTTTAACCAACTTTTTTAACAGTCAAAGGCCTTCTGAGTTCAATAATATGCAGTCCGCCCCACCCTTCTTTTTCTTGCCTAATTTTTTCGCCTGGCCATAGAATTCTGTGTGTGTGTGTGTGTGTGTGTGTGTGTGTGTGTGTGTGTGTTTACTAGTTGTGTTTTTGCGGGGGGCTGAGCTTTGCTCTTTCGGCCCGCCTCTCAACTGTCAATCAACTGTTTACTAAATAACAACTTACTATTTTTTTTTCCACACCACACACACACACACACCCCAGGAAGCAGCCCGTGACAGCTGACTAACTCCCAGGTACCTATTTACTGCTAGGTAACAGGGGCACTTAGGGTGAAAGAAACTTTGCCCATTTGTTTCTGCCTCGTGCGGGAATCGAACCCGCGCCACAGAATTACGAGTCCTGCGCGCTATCCACCAGGCGTGTGTGTGTGTGTGTGTGTGTGTGTGTGTGTGTG